CCCTACTCCAATTGGGGTGACGAGTGTACCACGCCGGCAGGCCACCGGGCCTGATCCGCCGGTCGGTTGCAGGTCTGCCTACCCTGCAGGCGCGGGCGGCGGCTCTGCTCTGCCCCCCCTCCAATTGGTGTGACTTGTCTACCACACCCGCGGACCGCTGGGCCTGTTCCGGGCGTGGGCGAAGGCTCTGTTCTGTTCCTACTCCAATTGGGGTGACGTGCCTACCACCCCTGCCGGCCACTGGGTCTGTTCCACTGGTCGGTCGCAGGTCTGCCTACCTTGCGGGCACGGGCGGCGGCTCTGCTCTGCCCCTACTCCAAATGGGGTGACGTGTCTGTTGCACCGGCAGGCCACTGGGCCTGTCCCGCTGGTCAGTCGCAGGTCTGCCCACCTTTCGGGCACGGGTGGCGGCTCTGCTCTGCCCCTACTCCAATTGGGGTGTCGTGACTACCACGCCGGCAGGTCGCTGGGCCTGTTCCTGGCACGGGCGGTGACTCTGCTCTGCCCCTACTCCAATTGGGGTGACATGTGTACCACGCCGGCAGGCTGCTGGGCCTGATCCGCCGGTCTGTCGCAGGTCTGCCTATCTTGCAGGCGCGGGCGGCGGCTCTGCCCTGCCCCTCCTACCACGCCTGCGGACCGCTGGGCCTGATCTGCAGGTTGGTTGCAGGTCTGCTCACCCTGCGGGCACGGGTGGCAGTTCCGCTCCGCCCCCACTCCAATTGGGGTCACGTGACCACCACACCGGCGGGGCCTGATCCGGGCGCGGGCAAAGGCTCTGCTCTGCCCCTACTCCAGTTGGGGTGACGTCTGTACCACGCTGGCAGGCCGCTGGGCCTGACCCGCCAGTCTGTCGCAGGTCTGCTTACCTTGCAGGCACGGGCGGCGGCTCTGCCCTGCCCCTCCTACCACGCCCGTGTACCACTGGGTCGCGGGTCTGCCCACCTTGCGGGCGTGGTTGGCGGCTCCGCTCCACCCCCTCTCCAATTGGGGTCACGCGACCACCACGTCGGCGAGCCGCTGGGCCTGCTCCGGGCGCGGGCCGCGGCCCGGCTTCTCCCCTCTGGCTCGACGACAAATCGAGAGAGACTCGGGTGTCTGTGCCTCACCCTCCCTACCAGGAGACCAACTGTTTCTGTCGCCGCTGGTATTGATGAAGTTCTCTCCTCTGCCGCTTTCTGATGACATCATATCTCTGCCATGTTGGTATCCTATGCGAATGGCAGCATTTTGTTCCCTTTGCCAGGTAACCAAAGCAACGGGTGATTCCTGACCGGTCCTCAGCAGGACCCGGACCGAGAAGCAGTTTCCGCGGGCTCCTTAGCCCTGGGCCAGGGCAGTTCCGGGAGTCGGAACTCGGCTGCTCTGTGCTCGGTGTATGCTCTGATAAGAGCAGGCTCCAAGAAGCAGTTTCTGCAGGCTCCTTAGCCCTGGGCCAGGGCAGTTCCGGGAGCCGGAACTCTGCCGCTCTGTGCTCTGTGTATGCTCTGATAAGAGCAGGCTCCAAGAAGCACTCAGGCACTGAGCCTGAGTAATCTGTCTGCAAGCCGCAGGCAAATGGCAGCCTGAAATTACCTGTTCTATGGCTGAATGAGCTGCGGTCAGTCGAAAACAGGGATGGCGACGTCAGCTCTCCAATATGGTGGCCGCTGGCCTCCTCTGTGGTCTGACCGGTGTGGAGAACCGAAATGGACCGCTTCCTTCCCCCGTCTTGAACCCAGAATTCAGCACTGAGTACGGCGCTTGCACGGCTGGCAGAAACTGCAGCGCTGTATCCCTGCGCCGCTATCTCCTCGTTTCCCAGCGCACGCTGCAGACTCTAGCCGTGGGGCGATTTGCTGAATAAGCAGTGTTACCCTCCGTGCGACAAATCTCTCGCGTTTGAGTCCCCGTAGCCGATCCTCGTGCGATGGAAATCCTTCCTCCAGGTTCCGGAGCACCCCACTATTGCTGGAAATTCCTAACAAGATAGCCTTTAGCCGTCCTGACTCGTCATACTCCCACACAGTGACGCAGCACACGGGGGCAATGCACTCCCCTCGCCGCCATCTTCCTAAAAAAAAAAACCCCTGACAGGTTTTGAAAGAGGAAAACAGCAGGAAGTCCATAAAATGTACAAAGAAACTAAGAGCACAGCAAGCTGAGGCTATGTAATGTAAGGAAAAATCACCTTGGTTCCTTGATGTCCCTAGGGGGCATCGTTGACTCAAAGTACAGCATGTAATGGTGTTTTTAATCATATGCCAAGTCATCAAGAAATAGGTATGTGACATTCTGTGAACCCAGTAAAATTAACAGTGATGCATTTTATGTACGTTTTCTTACTTTTTAGCAGACATCACAAATCAAATCAAATTAGGTATTACTGTGTTTACCTAAGTAGGACACAAATTCAACTCTTGGTCCTCTTACAACTACACTGATTTTAAAAGTGATAAAATTTATATGGGACAGAAAGTATCTGCATATACAGCATTTTCCTTGGAACTTAAACTTCTTAATAATTTAAATCATAGCTAATATTTTATCTAAATTCAGAGATAGAAAATGATTTTATGTCTTTTAATTTTTTTTTTAGTTATACTTGGACACAATATTTTTATTTTGTTTATTTATCTTTATGTGGTGCTGAGGATTGAATTCAGTGCCTCATATGTGTGAGGCAAGTGCTCTGTCACTGAGCCACAACCCCAGTCCTGATTTTATGCTTTTTAAAATAAATTGGGGGTTCTGGGATTGTGGCTCAGCAGTAGAGCACTCGCCTAGCACATGCAAGGCCCTGGGTTCGATCCTCAGCACCACATAAAAATAAAGATATTGTGTTCAACTACAACTAAAAAATAAATATTAAAAAAAATAATAAAAATAAATAAAGTGGAGAGCTGAGGATATAGCCCAGTTGATAGGGTACTTGCCTCGAATGCACGAGGCCTTGGGTTCAATCCCCAACACCACCAAAAACATAAAATAAAGTGGGGTAAGTTTGAACAAAGCACTGTATATGTATACAGTGGTACAGCCCATTTGTGCCCATCCTCAGCCAAGTTGGTTTCTTCCCTGTCCTGTAAGCATACTCTGTACTTACACTTTGACCTATGCTGTCCCTGTGCTTGAACCCTACCCTCTCTTTCTTTAATCTATACATGCTTTTAAGATCCAAAGACTTTTCTGTCTGTCCCATCCCAGAAGGACCTCTCCTGCCTTGAAATTTATGTAGGATCTATTGTCTGTTTGCCTGCTAGTGAAGTAGAACTCAAGACTTGTTTTTTATCTCATGAGCTGCAAGTCTTCTATTGCACTATTATTCTGTGAGTAAGAGGCATCATGGCAGAATGGGTTAAAAGCCAGGACTCCAGAACCAGTCTGCCTGCGTTTAAATCTCAGTGCTGCCCTTTACTAGCTCTGTGATCTTAGGATGATTACTTTACCTTTCTGTACTCTGCTCTCTCATCTGTAAATAGGGATACTATTTTTTTCATACCTATTTTATGGCTGCTTATGAGGATTAAATGATTTAATACATGTAAAATATTTAGAACAATTCTGATTACGTAAGTATCATATAAACATAAACTTTGATATCATGTCTTCTAGTTTCTAAGCTCTTTGAGGGCAGGAACTTTGTATATATTATGTTTTTCAGGAGGGTTGAACCAGTTTTATTGATGGCCAATAAATATTTTTTATCTTTATTTGAATAAGACTAAAAATGAGCAATTTAATAGAAAAAGATCTAGAAGGTAGATGCCAAAATATTTATAGGTGTGGTAGTTGGGATTGTAAGAATTCCTTATCCTTTTTTTCCTGATTTTTCTACAATACATATGTATAATTTTTATAATAAGAACTTATTACACCTGGACATGGTGGTGTGTGACTATGTAACTATAGTCCCAGCTGCTAGGGAAGCTGAGGCAGGAGTAGTTTTTGGTACCAAGAATTGAACCCACGGGTGCTTAATTACTGAGCTACATCTCCAGCCCTTTTTATATTTTATTTTGAGACAGGGTCTCGCTAAGTTGTTTAGGGCCTCACTAAATTGCTGAGGCTGGCTTTTAACTCACAATCCTCCTGCCTCAGCCTCCCAAGCCACTGGGATTACAGGCATGAGCCACCACACCTAGCCAGGAGGATTCTTTGAATCCAGGTGTTTGGGCAACACAGCAAGACTGTCTCAAAAAAATTATTACAAAATATTTCTTCCTTAGATGGATAAGAAAAATGAACCTAAAATTCATATTCAGAGACAGGCTTTATTACAGACTTTTCTGTTGATTCTTGTGGGCAGTTATATTTTTGAATACTATTCATTCATTGTGCTCTTATACTCTTAATTTTTTATTTTATAAAATTTTTTGGTACTTGGAATTTGAGCCAGGGTCACTTTACCACTGAAACCACATCCCCAGCCCTTTTCTTTCTTTCTTTCTTTCTTTTGGTACCAGGGATTGAACTCAGGGGCACTCAACTACTGAGCCACATCCCCAGACCTATTTTGTATTTTATTTAGAGACAGGGTCTCCCTGAGTTGCTTAGTACCTTGTTGCTGAGGCTGGCTTTGAACTCATGATCCTCCTGTCTCAGCCTCCCCTGCGCCACTGCACCTGGTGCCCTTTTCATTTTTTATTTTGAAATAGTGTCTTGCTGAATTGCCTAGAACATGATTAAGTTATTGACATTGGCTTGAACTTGCAATCCTCCTGCTTTAGCCTCCCAGGTCGCTGAAATTATAGGCTCTGTGTTTGGCTACTCTCAATTTTTGTGGTCTCCCAAATTGATTCTCTTTTTCTAATCTTTGTTTTTAATGGTTAATATTTGAGGGGTGTTTGTTGTTTTGGTGCTGGAGATTGAACCTGGGCCTTGTGCATGCTAGGCAAGTGCTCCACCACTGAGCTATCTCCCAGCCTGATACTTGAGTTTTTAAAATGCCTAATGAAATGTATTTTTACTTGATTATAGTGCAGTGCCTCACATTAATGATTTTTTTGATTCATTTGTAGCTTATGGTGCTGCTATCTGGAGTAATAGCTTTCATGGTGAACTTATCCATTTATTGGATCATTGGGAACACTTCACCAGTCACGTATCCTTTCAACAATAACTTACAAATGTGTAGTCTTTTATGTTTCCAAAATTCACATTCACTACCTTATTTGAGTCTTATACTAACAATATATGCATGTCCTAAATTGAGTAGTGTTGGTTATTTTTAATCTTTTTCTGTTTATTTCACTACTAGAGTCTTTAGAACTTTAAAGAAATAAGAACTGAGGAAATGAGTTCACTTGCTATAGCATGAATGTTTTTGAATTTTTTTAAGTAATTGGTGACTATTTCTCTTACAAAAATTAACTTAAGAGTACCATTCCTTGCAGATAGTGGACTTAAATATTTGTTGAATGAATAACAGGGTGGAGGCTTGAGTTTCAATTAGTTTTCAGTAATAAAACAGAGGTGTGGTTAACCCATGTAACAAAAGATGTTAATTTTAGACTCCTGGCAGCTGATTTGGCAGTGTGTCTTTGTACTTATTTCGTATGGGTGTGTCTACTGTTTTCAATATTTTAAAAATTTATTTTGAAAATTTATTTTAAAAATGAAGTCATTTGTTGAAGGTCAAATTCAGCTGCCCATTTTCACCATGCAGCTTGTCATTCTGTTTCTCTTGTATTTCATTCTGCCCCACTTAGGCAAATGCAAATCCAGATCATAGAAGTAGTTTAGTATTGTTTTATCAGAATATACTGATTTATACAAATGAATAAATACTGAGATATCAACAGAATAAAATAAATAGCAAATTTGCTATCAATAAATAACAATAATTACACTTTTTTAAAAAAACAATCCTTAATAAATATTTATACCAGATACTATTAGATACATTTTGTGTATATTGGTCCATTTAATTCTCACAGCAGCTCTTTAAAGTGCATTCTATTATTTTATTTTACAGACAAGGGAGCAGGTACAGAGAGGTTAAATAACTCATTTAAGGCCACACAGATGAGAGGTGTGATGTCCAGATTTGAACTCATACAGTCTAGTCGCATGTGGACATGTGGATCATGTTGCCAAATCAAGGTACCCAAGAATGTGTCCTAATTAAAGACATTCCTTCATTCAACAAATATTTATTGAATACCCACTATAAACCACTCATTGACTTAATAAATACTTACATACCAAAGGTCTACTATATGCCAGCCACTGGGGATACAGTAGTGAACCAAACAGATGAAAATCTTTGCCTCCTCAGGCTTAAATTCTAGTTAGGAATACAGACTATATACAGACTATAAAGTTTTTAAATATGCATACACAGTGTTGGGTAGTGTTAAGTGCCAAGGAGAAAAGAGAAAGCAGGAAAGTGGATGTGAAATGTTGGGGACAGGGTTGAAGTTTTAGGAAGGGTAGTCAAAAGGCCTCTACAGGAAGGTGATTGAGTAAAGATCTGAAGGAAATGAGGTTGCTCCATGCAGATTGGGAGAGAAGAACATTCCAGGCAGAAGCAACAGCAGGTGAGAGGCCCGAGAAACAGGGATACATGCATGGAGAAGCATGTGCAGAGGAGGGGATGTGGTGGGCTGAGAGGTAACAGAACCAGACTGAATGGGACCTCCACATAAGGACTATTACTCTGAATGAGCTGGGAAGCTGTCAGAGTTTGAAGCGAGAAGATGACATCAGGGTTGTTGACATTGTGAGCTGGACAGTGCTTTGTTGTGGAAGCCTGTCTTGTATGTTGCAGGTTGTTTAGCAGCATGCCAAGTCTCTGCCAGTAGCACACCCAGCCCTCAGTTGTGGCAACCAAAAATGTCTCCAGACATGGCTCGTGTGGCAAAATCATCCTGGTTAAGAACCACTGGACTGAAAGAGCTAGGAGAGAAGGGAAACTGACAGGAGGCTACTGCAGTATTCTAATTTAGAAATAATTGTAATTTATTACTAGTGTGGTAGCAGTGGAATGGTGGGAATGATTGGATTTGGGGTGTATTTCCAAGTAGAGCCAGTGTGTTTTGCTGACCAGTTGGATATGGAGAATGAGGAAACAAGGTTGACTTACATGGTTTTGGATGATATGAAGGTGGCTGAGACAGGACAAGCTCAGAGGATGCTTGAGATGAGGAAAATGGTCACGTGCTTAATTTTGGATAAACTGAGGGTTCAAGGAAAAAGTCTCAGCCAGGGGTATTTCACATAGTTGGAGTGCATAGGTGCCTGGTTGAGACTACTAAGCAAACAAGTAGAAAAACATGTCCAAAGATTGAATCCCAGGGCACTACAGTGTTTAATGAGAGGAACTAGGTGGAAGGAAGGAGAGTGGCAAAGGACAAGAGGTAAACTACTGGGTCAGTTGTCACTGACAGGTCAAGTACACAGAAGGCTAATAATGGATCAGTGGGCTTACTGAAGTGGAGGACACTGGCAGGGGCATTCTGGGTAGTGGGTGCAAAGCCTGACTGCAGCAGAGTGGAGGATTGAGAGAGGAAAGGAAGAATTAGAAATACCAGAGATAGACTGTGCTTGTGCTTTCTCTCCCTCTCTCTCTCTTCCAATTTATAAAGAGCAACACTGAAGAGTTTAAGTTTGTCTTCCCTTTATAAATATTTTTAACATATCATGAACTGGTTAAGAGAGGCTGGGGGAGTAAAGAAATTTAAAACTAAAGCATTGGAGCCAGCACATGGATTTTATATGAATGACTTGGAAAAACCTTAATTCCACTGTAAGTTACTGGCAGTATACTAGATCAGAGCATGGACTTGGAGTTAAAGAGATTCATCTGTGTTTGGATGCTGACTCTGCCACTTAAGCTCTTTGATCTCAAGCAAGATACTTAAAGTCCCTGCACCTCTGCAATTGTAAAATGGGGAGTGGGAGTGCAGTGAAGGGAAATGTGCGCAATAGGTGTTAACGTAAAATGCCTAGTGTGGCATGGTTGGCATATAGTATCACTCCCTCCCGCCCTTTTTCCTCCTAGCCTTAAGCATACTGAAAGTGTTTACAAGGAGTTGGCTCCTTGGCACCTTCCACATCTCACCTCATTTGCCAGGGAAAGTTTATTAGAAATGCCACTATGCAACATAACCATAAAAATGTTGTACAAAAGATCCTCTCTGTACCTTGTTCTAAATGTCATTCCTAACTTTGTATTTTAGCCCTTTGCTCTTTGAAAAGGTCAACAGGAACAGATGAGAAAGTCTTGTGTGTGTGTGTGTGTGTGTGTGTGTGTTCCTTAGGACCTGCTCAGAAGAGCACGGTGTCACCATCTTGTCATTTTTAAGTTGCTAAAACCTACCTGAAGAAACTAGAACTGACCCAGCACTTCACTAAAGTTCCTTAGATAAGTGCTGCTGTTTAGTCTGGGTTTCGTGGCGTTGTTTCCAGCCACCAGACGCCTTTGTTGTGTATATGTGCCTAATATCTAGCTTATTACTCCTTTTTATCCTTATCCAAAAACCTCAGCTACAACATGTTTGGACACTTCAAGTTCTGCATTACATTATGTGGAGGATATGTTTTATTTAAAGATCCACTATCAATTAATCAGGGTCTTGGCATTTTATGTACATTATTTGGCATTCTTGCCTATACCCACTTTAAACTCAGTGAACAGGAGGGAAGTAAAAGTAAACTGGTACAACGTCCTTAAGATTTTGTGGAGAAAAGAAAACCGCCCCCAAGAAGACAAAGAACACTCAAAGTGTGGAAGTTACTTTCAAAAAAGAAAAAAAGAATTACAGTGCAAAATTCATGGAGTGGTTTACAAAAAGCAATACAAATTTTATTCATCGGTATGACTTTTTTTAGTACCTTTCTTTTGAACTTAATTTTCTAAAACCAAAATGGCTTATGCTTCTTTTCAAAGATGATTATGTGGAATATATAGAATGGTTTGGTTATACCAAATAGATGAAAATTAAATTTTTGTAATGATGACAAAGGAATTTGTATTCCAGCACTGCAGACCTTCTGTGGCTTTTCAGTGTTCATGCTCTTCTGAGGAAGGACACATTGGACTCCTCTACTTGCTAGTAGATGTTTTCCCAATGTGAGATTTATTGTAATTTTGGTCAGAGGGCTTAAGAGGTTCTGGGGATCAAACCAGTGCCTCATACTTGCTAGACAAGTGCTGCACCGCTGAGCTACATCCCCAGCCCAGTCCTCAAATTAGAACTTAAATCTAGCATTTCTGTTTTAATTGACTTAGTGTAACATTTTAATTACTTCATTTCTGGAAATGAAGTGTTTATAGAAAGCAAAATATAATGGAGAAAATGACAATAAAACCAAATCAAGTTATAAAAGTACTTTTTTTCTAGTAGAAAACTGATAAAAGAAGTCATGTATTTTCAGGCCAGAAATATGTGCCTATAGGCATGGCTACACAAGAGGCTATAGCAGGAGGGTCATTTGAGCACAGGAATTTGAGGCCAGCTATGACAACATTGGGAGACTGTATCTTTAAAAAAAAAAAAAAGAAAGAAAAAAAAAAGGGCATACATTAAGGAAACTAATCTTCTCTAGTTTTTGAACTTTCAGTAAACTCTAGAAATTATTGTGGAGTTAAAAAAATTAATAATAGGACTGGGGCTGTAGCTTGGTGGTCAAGCATTTGCCTTGCATGTGTGAGACACTGGGTTTGATCCTCAGCACCACATAAAAATGAATAATTTTTATAGAAATATTGTGTCCATCTACAACTAAAGAAAACTTAAAAAAAATAATAATAAAACCCATATTTAAATGGCTCAAAAAAAAGATTATAGGCTCCCTTTAGTCTACAGAAAGCCCTGGGTTCAATCCACACACACACACAGGGAAAAAAAAAAAATCACAGAACTGAGTAGTTTTCCTGATAACTGCTGCCGAGGCCTCGTTGAGCATTTATTTCATATTGGTAATTTCATAACACCACCTCACTCCCTGTCTCCTACATAAGCAGCAGCCATGGAACTTTGTTCAATGAAAATTTGGAGTGAATTATGTTCTGCCTCTAATATGACCAAGTTTCATTTTTATACAGCAAGTGAGGATAAATGCTATTTAAATACTAGGCACAAACTAGTGAAAATATGAGGAAAGATTTTAAAGAAAAATAGTTAATATTTAGTTCTTTTTCTAAAGGAATACTTTTTAAAATTCAGGTATTGAGGAAATATATGATTTCCACTTGAACAAATATAGTGCCACATACTTAATTATGAAGTGTATTCCTGCCTTCCAGGGTCTTGACATTTGAGCATTAAAAGCAGTTGTTGATGATCTCACAATAAATTGAGATAGATCATTCTTCTTATAATAAATAATTCTTTTTCTAAACATTATTTATAAATTTTCTGTGAGAAGGTAACTTTAAGACAGAGTACATGTGTACAGTATACCTTCAGTAAGATGATAAATTTTATGTTAATGTTTTTACTACAACAAAAAATACAGATTTTTCGGATTATTTTTTCTTGGTCCATTCAGAATAAAAAACCTCACCGAAAACTTATTTTGAAAAGTTTCTGTTGATCTGTTGTATGATTAGAATATGTGGTGTTCTGTTTTTGTCTTAAATATTTTTTGGCTTTCCTCATTTTACAGATATATTTTATTGTGCTAAGAAGTACAGAGCACTTCAATCATTACCACATGAACCTTGGGTATTATATTTGTCTAAGAAGTGTTCTCATTGTGGGTTTAAATGAACATAAATTATATCCCAAAAGATGAAGAAAAGTATTTTATTACAGTGAGGAATATTTAATTTCTGGGCACTAAGAACAACTGAATTTTGATATGTGCCAAGTACAAGTTTTTTATCTACAAATAAATTGGGAACAGAGTAAATGTGTGAGATTGTAATAAATGGTGTTGGTAGGAATGCAGTGACAAAGAGCACAAAAGGTGAAGGATAGGTGTATATAAATGAATAAAATATGTACCACTAGAACTAGAGTCTGATATACGTGTTTGCCCTGAAGATGATCGTCATATTGAAAAAAATCCTGGGAAAAAATGCTCTAAATGATAGGGGCCAACCACAGAGACAGACCAAAGACACAATAGGAAGCCTGCTAATATATATACATATATATATATGTTTGTGTATGTGTGTGTGTATATATACTTTTTTTTTTTTTTGTACCTAGGATTGAACTCAGGGGCACTCAACCACTGAGCAATATCCCCAGCCCTATTCTGTATTTTATTTAGAGACAGGGTCTCACTGAGTTGCTAAGTGCCTTACTTTTGCTGAGGCTGGCTTTGAACTTGCAATCCTCCTGTCTCAGCCTCCCAAGCTGCTGGGATTACAGGCGTACACCACTGTACCTGGCTGCAGCCCGCTATCCTTTTGTTACCAGTGTTACTGAACTTAATTTTTACCCTATGTTAAATGCCTAAACTTCAAGTTTCACCTGTTAAAAATAAGGAGCGCCTCTTGTTTTCACATTTGTCTTGGATTTTAGAGTCAGCTGAAGATTAACATCTCTGTACACATAGGGCAATGCCAGTCTATTCAACCTCCAGATGTGCAGATGCCAGTGAAGCCAAATTCCACCTCCCTTGTAAAATAACATGAAGGACAGATCTTTCTTTGTGTAAGCAAACTCTCACATGTTTCATTTCTTTTTAGACAAAATATGTTTTTCATGGTGGTAGTGGGGATCAAACCCAGGGCTTCAAGCCCAGCTTAGCGGTAAGCATTCTACCACTGAAATGTACCCCAGCATCCCTAGTCCTTTCTTGTTTCAGTTCTTAAGGTACTTTTCAAATCTTACAGTATTTAAATTATGGAAGCCTTAAAATTTATTTCAAAGGAACAGCATTGATCAAGCACCCCACATTCATTCCATAAATAAATAGTTGGTGGGTAGATGAATATGCAAGAAATTACCATTTCCCATTGTTTATTTAAGAGCAGATTACATTAATTAGAAAGATTTTGTTTGAATCTTTTAATACCTATTTTTATGTGCATTTTTTATTCATAGATTGTATTTTAAGAAAGTATGTGACAGAAACAAAGTATGTAAAATAATGTGACTTGTCATTTAATTTCTTTAGAAGACATGATTTCTTTTGATTTTTCAAAGTTGCTTTATAGTTCATATGAAATTATTACTTGATGGATTATTTATGGGTATTTGGAGAATATTTTTGCTGTGCTATTTTAAATTAGAAAACAGCACATCAGGGGCTGGGATTGTGGCTCAGTGGTAGAGTGCTCGCCTACCATGCATGAGGCACTGGGTTTCATCCTTACAACACCCATAAATGTAAAATAAAGATATTGTTTTCACTTTAAACTAAAAAATAAATACTAAAAAAGAAAAAGAAAACAACACATCAACCAAACCATACTGATCTACATTTTTCTATTTAAATAAAAATATCTCATAAGTACTATGCATTCCGCAAGAACAAATATGCATATTTATTTAATCAGCTAGCACTGTGGATTTGTTTTTCTTTTTAGAGGAGGAAAGTTTATTTGGGGCTCATAGTTTCAGAGATCTCAGTTCATAAATGGCCAACTCCATTGCTCTTGGCCTGAGGTTAGACAAAACATCATGGCAGAAGGGCATGATCCAGGAAAGCAGCTCAGGATACAGCAAAAAGAAAGCAAAGAGAGCGAGCTCCACTCACCAGGGACATAATATAAATCCCAAAGGCACATCCCAGTGACCTACCTTCTTCAGCCACTCCCCACATTACCTACAGTTAATGCCCAGTTAATAAATTATCAGTGGATTAATGCACTGAATAGTTTTAAATTATTAGAACTTAATCATTTTACCTCTCAACTTTTTTGCATTGTTTCACACATGAGCTTTTGGGGAACACTTAATATCTAAACCATAACATTCTGCCCCTGACTGCCAGATGCTCATGCCCATCTCAAAATGCACAAACACATTTACTCCATTTTAAAAAGTTCTCGTAGTTTTACCAGTTCCAGGATTGCCCAAAAGTCCAAGTCCAAAATCTCATCTGAGACTCAAGGCAAACTCTTAAATATTTTCCCCTATGAAACTCAAAAAGTGAGTTACATGTATCCAATATATAAAGGCACCGAGTAAACTTTTCTATTGCATAAAGAAAAAATAGGGGCATAGAAGAGATGGGACCAAAGCAAGACCAAAACTCAGCTGAGCAACTATAGTTCCACATTCAGCATCTGGGGCACATGCATCATGATGTTCTCTCTGAAGGGTTTGTAAAGCTCTGTCCGTATGGGCATGCTGGTTGCAGCCCAAATGGCCTCTCTCTTTGCTGGTTTCTACTTGATTCCTGAAGCTTTCCTCAGTAGACATCCCATAAAACTGGCCTCTCTTAATCTTGGGGTCTCTACTGTGGCTTTGGCTTCCTTCTCACATCTTCACACCTTGCCCTCTTAAGGGCAGCCCTCAGGCATTCTGACCATGCTACACTTTGCCTGTCTTTCCAGGCCTTCCTGCTGAGAGCCACGGCCAAGTAGGAATGACTGCCAGAAGGGAGTGGTTGAGAGGTGACGCCAGGGAGCCATTGAGATGATGATGGTTATGTTAAGCTGTGTATTCAATTGTATATTAGACCCCTGCTGTCCACCTCTGGTGCCCACTACTTTGGAGTTCTCGAGGGGATTCCTGGAGAGTTGGCGTTGGTTGGGGGAGTGCCGGAGGAGGGATTTCCGGTTGGTGGTTCCTGGAAGGGCCTAGTGGGTGGCGATCGCGGGAGTTCGGATAATAAAGGAGTTCCTATTTTGAACCTACAAGTGCCTCATGGTGGCTCGGTTATTTTGTGCCCAGCCAGACTGCGGCACCTTCCTTTGAAATCTGGGTGGAAACCTCCATGACTGACTAGTATCCTGCATACCTGCAGAAACAGTACCATGTGGTTGCCACTAAGGTCAGTGTGTCACCATCTCAAGCAGTAGCCAAACCACCTCTAGGGACACACCACTGATGAACCTCACCCCCTCCAGGCAAGCAGAGATCCCACTGGTCTCTTCTCAAAGGAATTTTTGCTTTTATACCCTTTAACATGAGATTGATTGCCAATTCTTGAGATTGCCTCTAGCCATCTTTCCTCTTGTCTTTGGGTAAAGTATTTATCATCTCTTTAGGGGCTATAATGTCTTTAACAACTATAACCTCCTTAACCTTAGTTTTACTCACACTTTTATAGCCAAACAAAGTTTTTCAAATCTTTCAATCTGCTTTCTGCTCCTCATTACCACAGTAAACTTAGCTAAAAGCTGCCAGTAATATCCATGCCACTGCCTGAATGCTATGCTGTCTTGAAATTTCTTCTGCTGAATTAATTAATCCATCATCTTCAAATTTAGCCTCCCCAAAAGTCTCAGGACATGAGCAAAATGTAGACAACTTCTTTGCCAGAACATTATATGAATGACCTCTAGTCAAATTTCCAATAGAGTCTTCCTTGCCCTCTGAAACCTCATGAGCCCACTCTTTTCAGTCCACAGTCCTATTGGCATTGTAGTCTTTTTGAACGCCCAGAATCACCCCATTAATCTCTGCTTACAATATTATAAAGTTTTTCCAACTTGTATTTCTGAACACTTCAAAAGTCTTCCTCTGGCAAACCAGCTCCAAAAGATTCTGAATCACATGGTCAGGTTAATCACAGCAATGACTCCACTTCTCAGTAACAATTTTTGTTTTAGTAAGTTTTTACACTGCTGTGACCAAGAGATCTGACAAGAATAATTTTAGAGGAGGAAAAGTTTATTTAAGAGGAGGAAAGTTTGAGAGCGTTTCAGAGGTCTCAGTCAATGGATGACTGACTCCATTCCTCTGGGCCTGAAGTGAAATGGAACCTCATGGCAGAGGGTGTAGAAAAGGAAAACCGCTCAGGACCAGGACGTGGAAGTCAGGAAGTAGGACAACTATGGATTTCTAAAGAAAGAAAAAAGTTTCCTTTTAAAATCAAACGATCTGTATCAACCATATGTCTTCATTTCCTTTTTCCTGTTTGTCTTGCTCACCCCCAGGTCAGTTTCCTGTTTTCTCAGTTCCTCTTTTCTCAGTTTAAAATCAGTTTGTGCAAGAGGAATATGTGGGCCCTAATAGAAGATCTGAGAGGCCAAAATCAATCAGTCTAGTGAGGAGATCTACTGGAATCTCCACGACTAGGCCTTCCTATAGGAATGATCAGGTTCTCTAAGCTTTTCTCTGCCTGGAGTTTGAAAGAAAGACCAACCCTTTGAATTGAAGTTGTTAGAGAATTATGAAGGAACTCATTGGCCTGTTAGAATCAAATTATTTCATACAACTTAGGAATACCAAAAAACACAAGTTATCATAAGACAGTTAGCTTCCCAGCCAAATGTATATCCCTATTCTTTTTTTTTTTTTAATATTTATTTTTTTAGTTCTCGGAGGACATAACATCTTTGTATGTGGTGCTGAGGATCGAACCTGGGCCGCACGCATGCCAGGCGAGCAAGCTACCGCTTGAGCCACATCCCCAGCCCCCTATTCTTTTTGTTTGTTTGTTTGTTTACTTATTTATTTATTTTAGTTGTAGATGGACAAATACCTTTACTTTTTAGTTTATTTTTATGTGATGCTGAGGATCCTCACAAGTGCTAGGTGAGTGCTCTACCACTGAGCTACAACCTCAGCCCCTATTTGTTTATTTTTATGTGGTGCTGAAGATCGAACCCAGCGCCTCACATGTGCAAGGCAAGTGCTCTACACTGAGCTACAGCCCCAGCTCCACATCCCCATTCTTTGGTCATTCTAGAGACTAGAAATGCTAGATTATAATTTTACATTTTTGCTTCATAATTAAGGGTGGTCATGTGACATCTCACAAGTGGAACATTATTGGAATATTATCTGGTGAGGATTTCTGGGGAAACTTTCTTGATAAAAGGAGTGAATGTGACTGGCACTGCCCATTCCTGCCTCTTTCCAGATTTGAATTTTTCTGATTGAGGTGAAGGAGAGGTGAAGAGAACCTAATTAGCAGTTTTACCATGCTGGACTATTAAACAGTGCCATCTGATGCCCATCTAAATTCCTATTCTAGATGAAAAGTAAAACCTAGTTAGTTAAGGCACTTAGTGTTTAAGGCACTTTAGTGTTTCATTACTTATAGCTGCAGGCATGCCAATGAACACCTGGGGGTAAAAAAGGGTGATCATGGAGGACTTGCTCTGGTCTGGTCAACTGTAGAACCCAGGAAGCAACAACTAAATGTAGCTGGTTGAAAGCAAGAGTAGTGGCTAGCCTGACCCCAGCCATTCTCCCATTTCATAGAGCATCAGACTCTGGGTGATGGGATGGATAGGAGAAAGACCAGTCTGGTGGACACTGACTCAGAGGTATAATCTAAACCTGGCACTATTGCTGGCTTTGGGTGAACAGATGGGTTCCAACCAGGAGAAACTTTCCAACCAAGTGGGAGGTGGCTTACTTATCCTCCACCATCTTTGTACTCCCTGATTTGGGTCATCCTGAATTACCCAGTACTCCCCTTTTCCCAGCAATAGCCTTGCACCTATTCAGTCACCACCTCACCCTGGTAGTTCCCTAGTTTTGCTTCAGGTTGAGTGGTAGACCAAGAAAGCACTACCAACAATGATTGAAAGGTCATACTTAAGTCTTGGAAGAGGCCCTCAGGGTAGAAGTTCTGCATATATTCAACATGAGGAGAACCCCACTCTAATAACATTCCAGGACTTCCATAAAATCACAGGAGGATAAAGCTGCACTAGAAGGCCTCCCAGTGCCCACCGTAGGGATCCAGTTTGACCTGACCACAGCCATCTTGAGTTGTGACAGCCATGATTCCTCCTGAGTAACCTGGGCCTGTTTTTCTCCCACATAGTTTCTCAGAATACTTCAAATAAACAAAACCATCACAGTGGTATGTGGAACTTTATGACTGGACCCTCATGCCTTTAGCACCAGGAATGTGCCTGAGGCCTTTGATGTTAACTTAAGATAAACCAGTTAAATTTCAGCTTGGTTAAAAGTCACTTTTGTCCTGACCCTCTGACCCAGATTGCAGGATCCACTGGTCTTACTGCCACCCTTGACCATGCTTCTGTCAGTGAGTCCCCAATAAATTGCATTCTGTACATTCTGTACAAGGGTCTGTCTGAGTCTTTCTTTAGTCTCATGGTATCTTGTGACTGGCTCTCATACAATGGGACCAGGTTCTTCTAGAATACCCACATATCACAGGACTATGGACATGGGTGAGAAACTATTATCATGGAGTGAGTAAGTGGAGAACTCTTCAGCCAAATATGAGATCATTCTTTTGAATTTTTTTTTTTTTTTTTGTGTGTGTGTGTGTGTGTGGTACTGGGTATTGAATCCAGGGCCCAGGGATAACTTTACCATTGAGCTACTTCTTCAGATTTTTTTTATTTTATTTTTTTTTTTATTTTGAGATACTGTCTCACTAAGTGGCCCAGGCTGACCTCAAATTTTCAATCCTTCTGCCTCAGCCTCCCAAGTTGCTGGGACTATAGGCATATACCCCTGCATCAGGCTTCTTCTTAAATATTTTTTTTTTCTTGGTGGTGCTGGGGATTGAACCCAGGGGCCTTGTGCATGTGAGGCAAGCTCTCTACCAACTGAGCTATATCCTCAGCCCCCTTCTTAAATCTTAAAGAACATTATGAGGACATTCAGTATTTGTACTCATACCACACAAAAGCTCAATAATATCCTGAAATTCAAGAGATTTGACTAAGGAAGCCATAAGCAACAACTTATATCCACTCCTTTCACAATACTGCACCCATGTGACTCCAGAAAAGTATGACAGGGCTTGTTTGCCATCACAGTGTTCTTGAATATCTCTGTTCCATCTGAACATTTGCCTATTTCCTATGTGAAGATATACAGTCCAAGTAGGGCTGTCTGAATTCCCCTACCTAAGGTGTCAGAGAATCTCAGGAAGTTACAATGCTTACCTGGAACCTGCTAGAAACAACACTCACTCCAGGAATGGCCATCATAAAATTTCATGAACTATAGATTATATAATTAATAAAATTCCTATAAGCCAGTACCATTCAAGATGTGGCCTGTGCACCAGCATCAGTCCACAGTTTGTTACCAACTGAAAGTATAGAAACTGAGAAGAAATACTAGGAAACTTCTATAGCATTTGAACATAGCTACAACAGCCAAATATGATTATATATTTTACACAAGTATCACTTTATATTCTATGAAAGAGTTGAAGGTGAAACACGGGTCTTTCTCCACAGATACTTTAAGAAGGGCTGCCCCATCCATGTGGGGAGGTAGCCAGAGTTTTGGCCACAAGGTAAGTAGATTAGAAGGAGTTGTGTGGTTGACTCACCCTGGTCTTCTTGGTTGCTTGGCTTACAGCAGGTCTTATGTTAGGAACTCCTAATTTCTAGACCTTCCCTAGCTCCCTGAAGCCTTGGAGTTTAGTGGAAGAACAACAGGAATGCACCACACACACATCTTACAGCTCCACTTGGAGATACTGCAAATTCAAAACATGCTCAACTGATCTTACTCCTACTTTCAAACCCATTTAAACCACATTATCTTACCACATGCTCAGATTAAGTATCTTCAGGTGGTCAATGACATTGTCTTACCCAATCTAGTAGGAAATCTGGTTGACTCTACCTTCTAAATGTCTAGAATCCCCTCTTGTCCCACCCATTGCTACTGCAATGGCCCCTTGAAGGATCTCCCCACTGTTCCCTTGCTCCCCACAGTATGTGCTCAGACTTCCAGTTCTCAGCAGCCAGAGTGGTCCCATTATGTCCCCCAGTGAAACCCTGCACACGTGCCCCTGTTTTACTCAGAAAGTCAAATCTTCGCTGTAACCTCAGGACCAGATATATGATCTGTCTCCTCTGCTCCAGCCATGCTGGCCCTAGAGCACTGCAGGCAGGTCCCCACCTTAGGGCCACTTGCTCAAGACCTGTCTGGAAGCTCTTCTTCCAGCTGTCCTTCCTTTGGTTACTTCCTTCAAGTCCTTTCTCAAAAGGGGTTCCCCCCCCAGAACTGGGGATCCAACCCATGGCCTTATATATGCTAGAAAAGTACTCTACCACTGAGCCACACCCCGATCCCCCATCTCTCTCTTTTAAAATATTTTTTTAGTTGTAAATGGACACAATACCTTTATTTTATTCATTTTTTTTAGTGTGGTGCCAGGGAACCAGAACCCAGTGCCTCACACATGCTAGACAAGTGTTCTACCACTGAGCCACAATCCCGCCCCCCCCACCTCTTTTTTTAATCACAGCTACCTCGCTTTCACTACCAGAACTCTAAAGTCTCCTTCCCCTGCCCTACTTTGTCTTTTTCATAGAACTTTTACCATTGTGTATACCGTGTTAATTTACACATATACACATATAGATTGATAGTCCACTGCTTATCACCTCCCAGCAGAATATTAGCTTCACAAGGGTAGGAATCTGTTTTATTTGTTAATGTGTCCAAAGCCAGGCACTTAAATACTGGATAAATAAGCAAGTGACTCTCCCTTCAACCATTTTTATTAATTCCCTTGAATCCTCCAACCCTTACGGTTTACCTTAGAGGAAGGAAGGCAGAAGGAGAGAAGGAGGGATAAAAGAGCTAGCATTCAAGGCTAAAGCTGGACATACCTGTAACAGGAGGCTGAGGCAGGAAGGTCACAAGTTTGAAGCCAGCATGAATAATTTAGAGCCTATCTGATTTTTTTTTTTTCAAGTGCTGGGAATGTTGCTCAGTGGCAGAGTACTTGCCTAGCATGTGTGAGATCCTACATTCGATCCCTAGTATAGGGGAGGGAAAAAAAGGCATCATTACATTCAAACATAACAATAATCATACTCTTTATTTATTTTGGTACTGAAGTTTGAACCCAGGGGTGCTTAACCACTAAGCTACATCTCCAGTTCTTTTCATTTTTTATTGTGAGACAGGGTCTTGCTAAGTTGCTGAGAACCTCGCTAAATTATAGAGGCTGGCCTGGAAATTCCAATCCTCCTGCCTAGATACTCAACTATTTTAAATTCATATTAAGTTAACCTATTTAGAGACAAAGACTTTATAAGCAAAAACCATATTTTTGTAAGAGATTTTCCTAAAAACAGAATGGTACAGAATAAAAGATACAGAGAAAAACTCACACAGAAACAGTCATACAATCCTTGACAAAGTGCCAAAAATATACAGTGGAGAAAAGATAGCCCCTTTAACAAATGATACTGGGGAAACCAGATATCCATATAAATAAGAATGAAACTAGATCCATATCTCTCACCCTATAACATCAACTCAAAATGAATCGAAGATCTAGGTATAATATCAGAAATTTTGCAACTATAAGAAGACACAGGGGAAACCCTTCAACACATAGGCACAGGCAAGAGCTTCCTGAATAGGACTCTAATAGCTCAGGAAATAATAGCAAGAATTGCCCAATGGAATGACATCAAATTAAAAAGCTTCTGTGCAGCAAAGGAAACAACAGAGAGACAACCTACAGAATGGGAGAAAATCTTTGCCAGCTACTCTTCCAATGAAGGACTAGTATCCAGAATATATAAAGAAAAAAAATTAAAAATACATAAAAAGAGAAAGAAAAAAACACACACAAAACCCCAAATCATTTAATAAATGGGCAAATGAGTGAAAAGACACTACTCAAAGGAAGTACAAATGGCCAATAATCATATGAAAAAAATATTCAACATCTTTAGCCATCAGGAAGATGAAAAAACTATACTGAGATTCCATCTCACTCCAGTCAGAATGGCAATCATTAAGAACACAAAGAACAGGGCTGGGGTTGTAGCTCAGCGGTAGAGCACTCATCTAGTATGAGTGTGAGGCCCTGGGTTTGATCCTTAGTACCACATAAAGTAAAATAAATGTATTGTGTCCAACTACAATTAAAAAATAAATATTTTTTTTTAAAAGAAGAATACAAAGAACAATAAATGCTGGCAAAGATGTGGGGGAAAAGAGAACATTTATACCTGTTGTTGAAAATGTAAATGAAGGGGAGGGGGGATAGTAGAGGATAGGAAAGGCAGCAGAACACAACAGACATTAGTATGGCAATATGTAAATCAATGGATGTGTAACTGATGTAATTCTGCAATCTGTATATGGGGTAAAAATGGGAGTTCATAACCCACTTGAATCAAAGTGTGAAATATGATATATCAAGAAATTTGTAATGTTTTGAACAACCAACAATAAAAAATTAAAAAAAAAGAAAATGTAAATGAGTACAACCACTACAGAAATCAGTATGGAGCGTCCTTAAAAAAAAAAAAAAAAACTAAATAGAACTACCATATGATCCACCATACCACTCCTTGGCATAGAATTAAGATCCGCATACTTTAGAGATACAGGCATACCATGTTTATCACAATACAATTCCCAATAGTTAGGTTATGGAACCAGGCTAGGTGTCAGTTAACAGATGCACAGATAAAGATACTGTGGCTTTATTCATACATGGAGTTTTATTCAGCCATAAAGAAGAAAAAAATTATATCATTTGTGGGGAAATGAATGAAGAGCATTATGTGTTTTTTTAAATTTATTTTTGAGTTGTAGTTGGACACAATACCTTTATTTCACTTATTTATTTTTATGTGGTATTGAAGATCGAGCCCAAGGTCTCGCAAGTATGAGGCAAGTGCTCTACCGCTGAGCCACAAACCCAGCCCAAGAGCATTATGTTAAGAAAAGTGAGTCAGACTCAGAAAGAGAAGGAAAAAGAAAGAAAGAGAAAGAGAGAAAACATCATGAAAGTAGAAGGGAGCATCAGGCATGGTGGCAAACACCTGTAATCCCAGTGACTTGGAAGGCTGAAACAGGAGGATTGCAAGTTCAAGGACAGCTTCAAGGATTTACTGAGACCCTCAGCAATTTAGGGAGACCTATGTCAAAACAAAACAAAAAGGGCTGGAGATGTAGCTCAGTGGTTAAGTACCCCTGGGTTCAATCCTTGGTGCCAAAATAATAATAGTAATAATAATAATAATAATAATAAATAAAGTATAAGTGGAACTGGGCTTGTGGCTCAGTGGTAGAGCTCTTGCCTAGCATGTATGAGGAACTGGGTTTGATCCTCAGTACCATATAAAAAGTAAATAAATAAAATAAAGACATTGTGTCCATCTACAACTAAAAAATTTAAAAAAAAAAGTTTAAGGGAACAATAGGGTAGAAGAAAGGAAGAAGAAGAAGGGAGGGGTTTAAGGGGAGGTATTGGGGAGTGAAATTGATCAAAAATATTATAAGTGGGTAACAATATGCCACAATGAAACCTACCACTCTATACAATTAATATGCACCAATAAAAGTTATTTAACTGGGCTGGGGATGTGGCTCAAGCTGTAGCGCGCTCGCCTGGCATGCATGTGGCCCGGGTTCCATCCTCAGCACTACATACAAAGATGTTGTGTCTGCCAAAAACTAAAAAAATAAATAAATATTAAAACTCTCTCTCTCTCTCTCTCTCTCTCTCTCTCTCTCATAGTTCAGGACATCTGTTATTCTAGATTAGTTACTTTTTTACTTTAAATTTGTCCTAAAATTTTGGTTAGAATCTTAGTGGGACATGATGGCTATCATATTTATATTAAAGATTTTTTAAAAATCAGTATGCTATTTTGAGAGCCTTAATTCCTTTCTAATTTAGAGAATTTTCTCCATCACACATGGGGTTGAAGGAATGTAGTTTGCTGCCCTCCAGCCTATAAAGAGGAGGCTTGTCTTCTCCAATGTCCACCTTCAAGACAGAGCGTTGATTCAGAAGGAACAGATGTGGATTTTGGGCTAATGCAGAATGAATGCACAGTTGCAAAATGGCAGCGGGGGGAGGGCAGTGGGGAGGAAATAGGAGAGCTTGTTTTAACTGTGGTTGTAGCAAATGTTTTTGGAAAAGAAAACTTTAGGTTGAGTTTATTAAGAGCATCATTTTTTAGGCATAAAATTTGCGATTGTAATATAAACTCATCTTACTTGGGGATGGATGCAATAGTATATGTGACATGGGGATGAAAAATCAACCATTACTCTTGTGAATTTGACTAAGTATTATTAAGGGTATCTGTAATAATACCACTTGCCAATTAATTCTTTATTCGTTCTCTCTCTCTCTCTCTCTCTCTCTCTCTCAAACACCAGGGATTGAACTCAGGAGTGCTTTACTATAACCTACATACCCAGACCTTTTTATTTTTTAGACAGGGTCTCGCTAAGTTGCTTAGGGCCTTGTTAAATTGCTGAGCCTCACACTTGAGATCCCCCTGCCTCAGCCTGCTAAATCTCTGAGATTTCAGGCATGCGCCACCATGTCCCACATCAATAAATTTTTAATATTCTTATGCTGAAAATTCTCTAGGTAAGCAAAGATTCTCTCTAAAAGGAGAAAGGTAAGGGCTTTTATTAGTGTAAGTAGAATGTCATTTTTGCTAAATAAAACCATTATAGTCATAACAAGATTTTTTCTATACTTTGGCTTATAGCCCATAGTCACTGTGCTTGGCTAATAATAAACAACACTGCTTTGCAGAGATGTATCTTTAATTAGCCTGTTTCTTTTTGACCTGTCTTCTCCTTCTCCCTAGCTTTGAACAGTATGAAGTCAACCATGACAATGACCTCTACTCTTCTTTTAGTCTCTTTCTTAGTCCCCAGAGAGCAGAAATCTTGTCAGTCCTAGTGGGTAAAACAGTGTCAGACACCTGTTAGACCTTTTTTTTCACTATCATCTCTAAGTTTATAATTCTCAAAAACATATCTTCTGTTCAGTACTCTTGTCTATGGTTTATGGTTGTTCTTTCAAGTAAAAATGGTCCCAGGAGAAAAAGCAGTTTGCTCCTACTTGCATTTCATTCCCTAGAGAGCTTTGCCTTGAGATGAACATCATGCACAGCTCCAGGGGCAGGCATCAGAAGTGCTCTCATTTTGTGCACTTCGAATTTTACCAGACAGAATGCTAAAAACATGTGTCCTCAAGGGTCAAGACCAAATAAAATTGTTTTAACTGCTTCTTCAAGGACATTCTCACTGAATCCTAAATGCAACTGGCTCTTTAAAAAAAAAAAACTGTTGAGTGTTAGAGTCTGTAAACAAGTCTGGATGGTGCCTGGCAAAATGCCAGAGGGAGTGGTTTGTGAAGTAACACCAGCGAGCCATTAAGTGTGGAGATTCCTTATTGGTTGACTGATGTATCTAGTTTATGCTAATTAGATAAGCTGTGTGGAATGTATAAATACTGCTCCTGTCCTGCAATAAATGGCTTCCACTCCTGCTGTATTGATCTAAACAAGTCGTTCGTCACCCCCCCCCCCAGTTATTTTGCTGCAGCTGAGTGCATTGTGACAAAAAAGGAGGGATTACATGGGAGCCACAATCTTTTTTGTTTTTTTTCTATTTTTTAACTTTTATTTGGGGGTTTTTTAAAAAATATTTTTATTGTCTTCCATTTGTTAAGAATTTAGTTCTAATATTTTTTGGAGGAGGGGTACCAGGGATTGAACTCAGGGGCCCTTGACCACTGAACCACATCCCCAGCCCTATTTTGTTATTTAGAAACAGGGTCTTACTGAGTTGCTTATCCCCTTGCTTTTGCTGAGGCTGGCTTTGAACTTGTGATCCTCCTGCCTCAGCCTCTGGAGCTGCTGGGATTACAGGTGTGTGCCACCATGCCTGGCAAGAATTTATCTCCAATTTTGATTAACATGTAGCAGATATCCTAGCTTAGCAATCAGTCATTTGAAATGAGCGTGTTTATTTTTAGCTCATAGATGAAAGACAAAAGTCTCCCTGAGAGTCACACCTGGCCCAGTATGATTAGCTAGTCCTTGGGGTTGCAAGGAGCTGGCAGCCTGACACTCAGCACTCAGTTCTCTTTTTTTTTTTTTTTCCCCATTAATTCTTCTTAGTTATACATGACAGTAAATCCATTTTGATGAAGTTATACAAGCATGGAATATCCTTATTCTATATAGGACCCCATCTTTATGACATTTGCAAATAAATGGATAAATCTAGAGACTATCATGCTAAATGAAATTAGCCAATCCAAAAAAAAAAAAAAAGGTTGAAAGTTTTTGCTGATATGTGGATGCTAAACCACAATAAAGCTGGGGTGTGGGGCAGTGCAGAGAAGTTCAGGAGATTAGACAAAGGGGAACAAAAGGAAGTGAGGGGGGATAGGAATAGAAAAGACAGTAGAATAAATGTAAATGTAACATAATTTTCCTATGTACACATATAGAGCCACATCTTTTTTTTTAGATGTTGATGGACCTTTATTTTATTCATTTATTTATATGCAGTGCTGAGAACTGAACCTAGTGCCTCATACATGTTAGGCAAGCGCTCTACCACTGAGCCACAACCCCAGCCCCCTGGAGCCACAATCTTGATTCACACCAAGGCGACACGTTTTACCCACTACTGCTTTTGCGCCATCAGTGCAAAAATCAACATGGTAAGAAAAGCAAAGAAAGTCTTAGTATTAGTGTGAAAAGAATTTTGACTTCAGGAGAGACTTTCAAGGCACCCGAGTCTGTTTTGAGAACAGCTGCTCTAGGTTTTCAGGATGTCATGATAAACAAGACACAGTCCCTGCACCTGTGGAACTTAAGTTACAGAAGGCAGACAAATAACAAGACACAAACAAGATGACTTCAGAGCGTGATAAACTCCATGAAGAAAATAAGGGAATAGACCATAACTGACTGGGGAGGCTGCTTTAGCGAAGGCCATTCTGAGAAGATATCGGAGTCAGGAGCTTAGAACAAAGAGGGTGCACCCTGCACAAAACCAAGAGGCATTTTCTGGAAAGATGATACAGCAAGGAAAAAAGGCTTGAGACAGGAAAAATCTTGGCATTAGGAGAGACAAGAAGGAGGGTGATCAGATTGGATAACTGGTCTTTATAGCCCTCTACTCCTTTAGCGAGATTCCATGTTATTACCAGTAAAAATGGTAACAGTATATATAACAGCCATTTAATCCTTCAACAACTTTGCTATATTCCCCATTCCACAGCTGAGGACACTAGTGTCCCAGTCAGAACACTTAAGGAAGTTTGGCCACAGGTTCTGCTATATTCATAATCCTTAAAGCCTCTTTTAGAGAAAATTACTCACTGGATAAAATACTTCCTTGTTAGTGCATGTAAAAGGGTGTGTGGGGAGGGAGGTGGATATTTTATTCTTCCTTCTTTGATTTGGATCTGGAGAACCAGAAGCTATTGAAACCACTCTGACATAGGATTGTGTCAGAGTCTGTCACATGAGGGAAGAGCCATAACTCAGTGGAAAGGAATTTTTCTGAACAATTTCCCTGATAAATGTCTTACCTTGCACAATCACAGATGCATTGATTCTTTTTGAAGCGTCATCTCATTCTAAATGAGTTATAAACAAAGGGTTGTAGAACTGAGCAGTCTGTCCTCCTTGGGACAGGTTCCTCTTAGTATAGGTTGGCCTCGGAGTGGTTTTTCTAACTTCTGTGATGGTCCAACAAGGAAGTGACAAAGGTATGTTTTTGTCAGCTTTTTCGCGGTTGACACCAAAAGATATGACAAGAACAATTTTAGAGAAGGAAGAGTTTATTTGGGGTTCAGGATTTCAGAGGTCTCAGTCCATAGACAGCCGCTGGCTCCATTCCTGGGGCTTGAGGTAAAAGGAGTGTGGTACAGGCCAGCAACTCACGTGATGATCAGAACGTGGAGAGAGACTCCACTTGCCAGATAGGAAATACACACCCCCAAAGGTACACCCCAATGCCACACCTTACCTGCTTTCAGTTACAGTGGGGTTAAGTCTCTCATAACCCAGTCCCTTCACCTCTGAATGTTCTTGCATTGTCTCACACATGAGCTTTTGGGGGACACTTAATGTCTAACCCCAAGATATAGCTCCTTACTGTCAGATCTACACAGGAGGAAGGTAGAATTCCCTCTCTAGGAGCAAGCTTCACCTGAGACACCAGGGTAAGGCCACCTGACTCCCAGCTTTGATTGGAAGGCAACCTTCTCCTAAACAAAGGCAATAAGACCATTGCTTTGCTTTCTTGATATTTTTGTGCTGATCTTTGTGGACTCTTTACTGCTTTGCTTCCTTTCAGCGACCCACCCTCACCCCAATCCACAAGCACCAGGTGAAGGATTGCACTTAGCTCAAAAGATCACTATCACTTGAGGAAAGACTTAGACCTTAAATTGTGGCTATTCTGTCACCAGGGTTACAACAGAATTGGAGCTCAGTTATCTACACGTCAGCCCTGACTCTAGCATCTACATACCAAGGAGCCTTGCTCTGAACTTCTGGAAATTACATGTTTGAATCAAGCCACTGACATGAGTCCTTTCTCTCCTGGCAAGAAAGATACAGGATTTGCTAGGTCAATGCTGTCCCTCTGACTTGTACAGTACTTACTAGACCATAAGCCTCAAGAGGGCAAATTCTAACACATTTCTGTTTGCCTTTGTCTCTCTAGTGCTGGCTCAATGCCTGACACATAGTGTGTTCGGTGACTATCTGTTAAATGACTGAATGATTCAATGAGTGTTTAACTGGACACGTACCAGAACAGTGAAAAAATTATTCATTCATTTGGTCTTTTATTCACTATTCAACAAATATTCCTTGAGCACTGATTATATCAGGCACTCAGATGCTAGGAATACAAAATTTATGGTGAAGCAATCTAACCCAGGAGACTTTCCCAACTAATGAGAATTTTTAAAAAGAGTCCTTTATTCAGTCCCCAGTATGGTTTAAGAGTTCCCATGAACAAAATATTAACATACCATCAACTACACCAGGATGCTGTGGCTTTAAGTAACCAAATGACCATTATTCATGCTGTCTCTGTCAGAGTTTTTGTTGGACTGCCTAGCCTCTTTTAAGGAAATGGTTCTTTTTCCTTCCAATGCCTCTTTCCAATTTGTAATTATATATCTATTCACATCTTATATTTTTCCTTCACTGTACTGGCAGCTCAAAAAAGGTGGGGACTATATGTTTTAATCAGGCTACACTTCAAATGTCTTGCACTGTGTTAAAAATTACTTGTTAAATATATGAATTAAGGCTCATGACCAAATTTCTGATTTAAATAGTTCAATATCTGGCCAAGAGGATGGTAGCAATAATTCAAGAAACTGATTGAAGGTATACTCCTGATGTAAGTGGTCACACAGGATTCATCTTTCCACATGGAGCTAGACAATTCATTTCATTTTTATTGGGCAAATTCTGATCAAGACTCTAGTTTCTTCTTTTTTTTTTTTAACCTTATTTATTTATTGTGGTGCTGTGGGTTGTACCCACAACCTGCCATATGCCAGGCAAGTACTGTACTATTAAGCTATACCCCCAGGCCCAACTTTGTTTATTTTTAACTGTGCTAAGGCTCAAGGTTACTTTTAAAAATAGACGACAGGGGCTGGGGTTGTAGCCCAGTAGTAGAGTGCTTGCCTGCTATGTGTGAGGCACTGGGTTCAACTCTCAGCACCACATATATGTAAATAAATAAAATAAAGGTCCATCAACAATTTTATATATATATTAAAAACAGATTTTTAAAATTTTTTGTTTAATTGTTGATGGACCTTTATTTTATTTATTTATATGTGGTGCTGAGAACCCAACCCAGTGCCTCACATATGCCAAGCAAGTGTGCTACCATTAAGCCACAGCCACAGTCCTACAATTTACTTTTTAAAATTATCGATTTTGTTCATACTCTACGTGATCTATTTGGATTTATGTCTAATGTAGGATTGACAAGGATACTTTTAACTCAGGTGATGAGATACGAAACATGTAGCTTTACAGAAAATTTTTTAAAGCAAAGGACAGCCTCTGAGTTTGAAAACAAAACCACAATTAGATTGTGTCATTTTCTGGTAGTTGGGTGGAGTCACTGCTTCTAAATTTAAACCTATTCATAGGTTTAAATTTAGAAAGAAAATTTAGAAACTTGTGCATCAGTCACTTTACAACCCAAGTATTGTTAAAAGGAAAATTCCTTAAGCCAGTTAAATTTAACAGAGTTCATTTAAACCAAGTAAAACAAAACAAATACAATTGGTGAATAGAAAAGCTCTAGACAACCAGTGAGTAGACAGTGTTTACAGAAAAGCTCAGGTGAGACTGAAAACATCTTAATTGGCTACAGTTTAATCAATGTGTCAATTGGATACAACTTAACTAGTTAATTGGTTACACAATCTTCTGCAACCAACCAAACCTCAGTTACTGAGCTTAAATCCCATGTTGAGCAGGGTGCTATGG